CCTTAGTAAATGACGTATTTCGAGCGTTATAACGATTAACATAAGCGAATCATTTCGTAAATATGGAGTTAGAATTTGCATGAGTAATACAATCATACATCGACTTTTCACCCAATGATATTCACGATCATAATTGCATCTTCTGATAGAATCCACATTCTTTCCACATCGTCAATGGAGTCATGGTGTATTATTTTAAAATATTATTATAGGAAGAATAACACTATTCAAAGAAAGAAACATGGTGCTCGTGTGATTTCCTACTACATTAAAAATGGCACTTTTCAGTTACTGTAGATGCAATAGTAGCCCAATAAGATGTTACTGTTCGTTTTCCCATCTTTCACTGCTCCAGTCCTCCAATTTTATCATTTCTTACGACTTATATCCATTTTATACACGTTATATATATATAAAACAACGACGTATTGGAGTTTGAATAAATTGGGTTGTCTTTCTATTTTGAAGAATTTGATTTTATCTTGGAAATTGGTTACAGACATCTTAATTATGTTTTTTTTTTTGAAAAAAAAGTTCTCCACGCAATGCAGAGACGCCGTGTCAGTGTCTCCGCGCATCGCGGACACGGATGGACACCGTGTCCACGTGCGTGGACATGGACGGACACCGTGTCCTCCGTGTTCGTGCATCGCAAACTTTTTTTTTACCTTTTTTTTTTTCCAAGCTGGCTATAAAAACGATGACAGCGTATCGTGTGAAGAAGTCGTCGTTTTAAAAAAAGTACAAAAAACTAAAAAATAAAATGCAGCTATGCGAAGACTTCTCTCTACGCAGCCCAGAGTTTTACACTTTAATTCACGATTTTCCCTTTTCTATCCTCGCAGCCCGGAGTTTCACATTTCAATTATTCACGTTACCCCCCCTCCCCTCCTCCATTTCCTTTCCATTTCCTCATACGCCATTTCCATTTCTCTTTCTCTTTCCATTTCCCTTCTCCTCCAAGAGTCCGTTCTCCTCCAAGAGCCGATGATGAAAGTATTTCTAGAGAAAGAAGCAGAGTGCAGAAAAAAAATATTGCCATCTTTTTTGATTTATTATGTTTTATTGATGGAAAACAAAACATGATTTCAGATTTGTGAGCAACTTCACAGGATCTTCCAAGCTCGAAATCTCCCTTCTACTCACGACTCTCTCTCTCTCTCTCTCTCTGAGTACTAAATCGTATTTTTTTTTCTTTTTAGGTTTTAATTTTTGCTGGGTTGCTTTTGAAATTGGAAATTAAGCTCCTGAGAGATGTGGGTATTATCGAAATTGTGAAGTCTTCATTGAGGAGTGTGGCTATCCAATTGTACTGAATTAAGTATCATGGATCATATTGTGGGTGGAAAATTTAAGCTTGGTAGGAAAATTGGATTTAGGTACATTTTACTTAGACTTTTTTTTTTAAAGGAGGGCGGTACCTCCGAGATTTTATTAATCTGCCCTCACTTGTGGCGGAGGAATACCGTAGTTACATGAAAGAATTGAAATCAATAAATGAGGAAGTACTACTTCCCTTACAATGAAAATAAATGATGAAGATTTAAGCAGTAAACGAGGAAATACTACTTCCTTTACAATAAGAACTAATGCAAATTGAGGCAAAAATAGGAATTGGAAATAAAAATCAAAATTAAAATTTGGTACTGGGCAATCCATGTCTGTTAGTTTGTACTAGCACCCTTATATGTCATGGTAGGACATGTAGTCCGTATATCTGATATCGTCGATGATCCCAACCCTTTGCAGTAAGAGCATCTGCAACCTAGTTTCCTTCTCCGTAAATGTAAGAAACCGTGTCTCTATCCAAGGATATGATATCTGTGATATATCTGAGTATACCCTGAATAGCCCATGGTCATCCTCCTCTAGTGATGCAGTGAATAGCTACTGTAGAATCAGACTCTACCCAAATTGCAGAAAACACAAGTCCCGAGCTAGTAAAATCCCATCAAGAATAGCCCAGAGCTCTGCCTCTAAAATCAAGCATGGTCCATACGAAGTTGAGAAAGCCCTAATATAGTATCCTGCATAGTCTCTGATGATGCCTTCCCCACTCGCAAAACCATCCTTAACGCACCCATCAGTATTGATTTTGACAGATCCTATTGGCGGAGTACGCCACCAAACTAGAATAGGGAGAAATGGAGAAGGAGGGTCCATAAAAATACTAAATATGGGTGCAAGTGTCAAATCCCTTCGCCAATGGATCACACGAAGCAGTCCTCCCATATGAAAGAAGGAGATCATGCGATAAACCTTCAAAATGATATGTTTAGCAACAATGCGAATCCCCCTATGATTCGCATCATTCTTGCGGTCCATAGGTACCAAAATATCAGTAGAGGAATGATAATGCGAATGTGTCCACAACGAACATAATGTCCAAAATATCTCCATCTCTGGAATCTTGTCTGACTCCCTCTCCTGAACTCATAGGTATCT